TCTACAGATTCAGTGCAATTCCTATCAAAATACCAATGGCAGTTTTCACAGAAGTATAACAAGTAATTCTAAAATTTGTATGGAAATACAAAAGATCCTGGATAGCCAAAACAATCTTGAGAAAGAAGAAAAAAGCTGGAGGTATCATGCTCCCTGATTGCTAGCTATCTTGCAAAGCTACAATAATCAAAACAGTATGGTACTGGCAGAAAACAGATCATAGATCAAGGGAACAGACTTGAGAGCCCACAAATAAACTCACACTTTTATATGGTCAGTTAATATACAACAAAGGAGACAAGAATATACAATGGGGAAAAGACAGCCTCCTCAATAATCATGTTGGGGAAACTGGACAGCTATATGCAAAAGAATCAAACTGCACTACATTCTCACACCATATACAAAAATAAACTTAAAATGAATTAAAAACTTACATGTAACACCTGAAACCATAAAACAAGCAGTATGCTCTTTGACATCTGCCCTAGCAATATTTTTTTTTTGGATATGTCTCCTCAGGCAAGAGAAACAAAAGCAAAAAATAAACAAATGGTACTACATCAGACTAAAAAGCTTTTGCACAGCAAAGGAAACTATCAACAAAAAAGGAAAACTACTGAATAGAAGATACTTGCAAATGATATATTGGATAAGGGGTTAATACCCCAAATATACCAAGAACTCATACAACTCAACATCAATAAAACAAACAACCAAATTTTAAAATGGGCAGAGGATTTGAATAGACAGTTTTCCAAAGAAGACATACAAATAGCCAAGAGACATAAAAAGATGCTCAACATCACTAATTGTCAGAGAAATGCAAATCGAAACCACAGTGAGATATTATCTCACACCTCTCAGAATGGCTTTCATCAAAAAGACAACAAACAACAAATGTTGGTGAGGATATGGAGAAAAAAGAACCCTGTGCACTGCTGATGATGTTCATTTGCTCAGCCGCTATGGAAATCAGTATGGAGGTTCCTCAAAAAATTCAAAATAGAACTTCCATATGATTTAGCAATTTCACTTCTGTGTATTTACTCAAAGAAAACAAAAACGCTAATTTGAAAAGATATATGCATTCCAATGTTCATTGCAGCTTTATTTACAATAGCCAAGATATGAAAGCAACCTAGGTGTCCATCGATAAATTAATGGATAAAGAAGATGCGAGATATATATATATATATATATACACACACATACATACATATACATATATATGTGTATATATATATATATATATTACTCAGCCATTAAAAATGAAATCTTTCCGTTTCTGACAACTTACATAGATCTAGAGGGCATTATGCTAAATGAAATAAGTCAGACAGAGAAAGACAAATACTGCATATCTTACTTATATGTGGAAACTAAAAAATAAAACAAACAAGCGCACAAAACTAAACAAAGCAAAAGCAGGCTCAGATAAAACAGATGTTTGCCAGAAAGAAGAGGGGTGAGGAGTGGAGAAAATGAGTAAAGAGGATTAAGAGGTACAAACCTCCAGATATATAGTAAACAGGTCACAGAGATGTAATACATTATATTGTAATAACTTTGGGGACAGATGGTTACTAGACTTATTATGGTGAACATTTCATAATGTATGCAAAAGTCAAATCATCATGTAGTACACCCAAAATTAGCATAATATTATACATCAACTCTATTCCAATTAAAATTGTACATTGGTTACAAAAATGATAATACAAGAATTTTCTTAATGTATAGAACTACAGAAGCAAAGAAGATAATAGAGCTAAAGGAAACAGACAATAAATTTCAACAGATTTTTGGAATATAGAAAGCAGATGGAGGAGTAGTACCTGATTAACCAAGATGGAGCAACAAACTAAAATGCAGCCACACCTGAAATGCCTGCAGACAGGATCAACAATAAGTGAACTGATTTACCATCAGAGAACCCTTAAGGGGCTCAGGACTAGGGAGCATCAGGCACAGTGGCAGGTAGACTTGAGGCATGTGCTGAAAATTGATGGATGGGTTAAAAGTCTGAAATCATGGGTATCAAGATGTCCACCACTACCTAAAAGAACAGAGCGTTATTCTCTGAAGAGAGTGAGAAGAACAGACATGGGACTTGGGGATACCAAAGTTAGTAGCTAAGAGAGATAAGGCAAAGCTGAAAGCATAAAGTTTAACTGAAAGTTTAAAATTTAAAACTGGACCCCCAATTTCTCTTCTTATATTCCACTCCTAGAATGCTGTCAACCAGGGAAAATTCTGGAAGTCTCCTTAGGACAACTGAATAATAGGAGAAAAGTCTTCTATATACTTCTCTCGGGGTTTAATATGAGGTTCCCAACCTAAAGAACCAGCTCACAGGGATGTGGCAGTAAATGTTTAGCAACCAACAATCTGGGAGGAAGTGTGCCATTGTTTGTAGCATTTGTTGATTTCCCTGGTGTCAATATTCCCATGGACAATTTCAAGCTGCCAATATGATGTCGCTAAGTGCAGAGTGGAGGTATGTGTACCCATTCAGCTTTTGCAAGCTGAGGTAAGCCAGCTCCGGCACACCATTGCCAGATCCCCAACTTAATCATCCTTCCGTATCACCCTGAAATGAAGCCCACTGATTGCTTAACCCCTTCCCCATGAACACACAAGAGCTTTTGTGTAAGCTTTTAGTGCCTTGCTCTTTTTTCAATTATTATTATTTTACAGTGTTTTGTTCTTAAACACAGTCAAGGATCACCAAATATTTGAGCAAAACCTTCAAAATGAAAGAGTCTAAAATAAACAAGCAGAAAAAAGGAACTTAAAAAACAGATGTTGCAAAAAGCAAAATAAAAACTCCCTCTTCCGATTAATATAGAGATATGATATGAAGATATTTCATCCATAAAACAAGCATAGAGTGCTATAAAAACATTTGGAGGACAAGAAAGAGTTTGTAGAATGAAAAATAAGATAGGTGAAATTTTAAAGTAAACAGAACCAGAATATAAAGTCTAGAAACTCTCTTAAAATAATAATAGAAAGAAAAAGGATTAAAGTTAGGAAATAAAATTAGAGAATTGCCTCGGATAGCTATCATATGATTAAAAGAAGGTGAGAAGCACACAAACAAAAAAGAGTAAGAATGGATAAAAGGGAAACTTTCTAAGAATGAAGAATAGAGACTCTGAATTGGTAGGTCTCACTGAGTGCCCCAGAATTATGAACAGAAAAAAAAAGAAAAGACTTCAAACCAAGGCATATAATCTAGAATGTTCAAAACATTAGAAATAAAGACAGGATCCAAAAACGTAACACAAAGGATCGTGGATCAAAATGGCATCAGACTTCTTAAGAGTAAAACTGAAAACAAAGACAATGGAAAATGCCTTGAAAATTTTGAGAGAAAATTATTTCCAAAAGAACTGATGAAAACCATGAATACACAGATCCAGGAAGCACAAAATATCTCAAATATGAGCAAGAAAAATAAATTCATACCTTGTCACATCATAGTGAATCTGTTGGACATCAAATAAATAGAAGATCTGCAAAGCAGAAAGAAAAAGACAGATGACCTCCAAAAGAATGGCAATTAGAGTAGCAGCAGATTTCACAAACAATGGCAGAAGCCAGAAGACAGCGGACTAACTTCCATTAAATGATAAGAAAAAATTATTAAGCACTATAAATTGCGTTCTCAGCAAATCTCATTCATTTATGAGGGGAAAAAATAATAATCTGTATAAGAAACAATCACATGAGTTTACAAAGAGATCTTATCTAAAAGAATATACAAAGGATTTAGTTCAAGAAGTAGGAAGGTAGCAATGCAAGAAGGAAAGTGAGCAAAAAGAACGGTTAAATAAAAATAAGCCCAAACAACTACTGTCTCAGTAAAGTAATACAGGAATCTAATCTGTGGGGATTAAGAAAAGACAGAACTGAAATGTCCAAAATCAGTAAATTGGGGGAAAAGCAATAGTGAGTTAGGAGGGTTAGAGCAGAGTTAAAGTGATCTAAAAGCTATTTCATTGACCAGGATGAAGGGCAAAATATCATTTGACATTAATTCATTAAATGTGCATATTAAAATATATAGAGATACCACTAAAGTAAGATAAATAGGTTACAGAAATAACAAACCAGCGTAAGAGGAAAAGTGGAATAAATAGGGGAGAAATCATCCCCGCAAAGGCAAGAAACTAGCATTTTAAGTTCTCGCCAATACAGTAAGATAAGAAGAAATTAGAAGCATAATGATTTGAAATCACCTGTCATAGAGAAAGTAATGAATTTACAGCAAACCACTAAAAAATAATAGTGTTTAGCAAGGTGGCTGGATCTTATGATCAGCATAGAAAAATTAATTGTAATTCTATATACCAGCAGCGATTAGGAAATATATATTTTTAAAAGATAACTTTTATAGAGAAAAAACTTAATACCTAAGACTAAATCTATTAAAAGATGTATAAGATCTATACTTAGAAATTATAAAACTCTACTGAGACACCTTAAGGGTGACCTAAATAAATGAAGAAATATTCCATGTTCATGCATAGAAAGATAAAGATCAAAACAACAAAGATTAAATAACATAATAATTAAATATATTAAGTGTTAACACATAATTTTAAAAAGCAAGAAAATGTTAAATACAAAATTCAATATACTAGTTATCCATAAGGGAAAGGCAAGAGATGGGATGGGGGAATATATAGCTATGATGTTATTAATGTTTTAGTTCTTAAGTTGTGCAGTGGGTTAATAAGTGATCATTATATTTATAAATAAGCAGAAAATATTTTAAGAGTCTTAACGACGTGTTTGAACACAGACATAACTACAACAAAATAAAACTAAGACATTACCAACTAAAAATGAGAAAATTTATCAGATGAATTCAAATAAAAACACAGGACAAATTAGCATATTAATACCAGACTATATAATTTTAAGGTAAAATGCACTACATTAATTAAAGACTCTGTGTATGTGTATTTATATATATTCAGTAAAATATTTATTTATTCAGATTTTTTTTTCAGTAAAAGGTACATTTAATAGTGAAGAAGTAATAGAAATGCGCCTTTGTGAGTCAAATAACAAAGCATCAAAATATCCACAGCCAGACTTCTGGAAAAAAATAGTGGAGTATGACCCAATCACAACTCCCTTCACTTCGTATTTAATGAAGTGAACAAAAACCATTGAATAACAGTGTAAGGGGAGAGTATTGTAATTACCCACAACAGTTCCCCAAGAAAGGAAATAGACTCAACTCAGTATCATTCACTCCAAAGAGTGACAGCCAAGGGGTGGGGTAGGGGGAGGAATAATCCGCATTGACAGAGCAATATGGCTGAACTCCTAATGTCATTTAAAAAATATGAGCTTCCAAATCCAAAAAGGATGGAACCAAATACATGTGTCTCCTTATCTTTTCCTTCTTTTGACTAGATGGTGATGAAAATGACCTCTGGGAAGAGACCAGTAAAGGACGGGCTGTGAACTGTGTGGCAGAAGTGAAATTTCCAGGCCACAAACAAAACTGGAAGAACACCCCAAAGCCTATAATGATGAATGGGGTGTACCCTGGACTCGGGTGAGGCAAACCTAGCAACTCCAACCTCTTAACATTTCCTGTAAGCTCCTTTTTTAACCTTAGAATGCTCTTTCAGGAAATATTTTTTATTATGAAGGAAGATGTATTTTTTAATTCAGCAATTCTCTTCATTCACTTGAGAGTTTTGGGGGTGTTGATTGTTTGGTGGTTTATTATTATTATTACCTTCTGTTAACTAAAATTCAATAGTTTTCATTAAGAAAAAGCATATTCAGTATGATTCCAATATTATAAAAATACTCCTGTCTCTCTAATCCATCTAACGTTAGTGACAATTATTGCTGGGTGATAAGATTTGAGATAACTTATTGTTGTCTTTATACTTTTCTGCATTGCTTCAATTCTTTAAAAGAAGCATGCATCATTTTATAAACACAATTCAGTGTGTATATAAGGAGAGAGAGAAACAGAGTTACAGAATTGTAATAATGACAACAACAATAGTTTACACCCTGGGTTCTGTCTATCTGGCACTGTTCTAAACTCTTTACATGTACGAGGTTGAATCATATGAAATTGCCAGTATTTGACTGTTCATGACCTACAAAAACAGTAGTTTCATGTGGTCCAAACTTATATTTACTCCTTTAATCCTTAAACAACCCTAAGACGAAGATGGAGATCCAAAGCTGCCAGAAACACAAAGAGAAATCAAGTGCCATCCTTCTCCAGACGCCCCCCACCCCTGCCCCAGCCCTCATCCTCTAGCCTTGCACTCACACCCTGCTCCACAGGTTAGTGTGTCCCAAGACACGTTAAGAGGCGGCATCAGTCATCAACCTGAGCTCCAAAGGCAGGACAAGTGGCCTTGCTCTAGCTCAAGTGATTCCCTAAATGAAGCCACCTCTGGTTTCTAGGAGCTACAGGGTCTTCTGAACTTCAATTTCTGTTTGAGAGCAGACAGAACAGTTTTGGTACATTTGCAATTCCCAGTGGTGCCCCCATCCATGTCCCCCACCCAGGCACGGAAGCAGGACACACTTGAAAGTTTCATGTTTATTTTCAGAAAGTGATGAAAACAAAAGATATATATTCAAACACCACTCTCTGTACAATAAATAGCCTCCCCTGTTCCAAAAATAAAAATTAAAAAGAAAAAGAAAAGAAAAATGCTCCCTGATACACAACCACCACTCCGTCCTGAGGCGTGCACCATCTCCCCATCCCATCCCCTGAGGCGTGCACCATCCCCCCATCCCATCCCCTTCCTCAGGACCCCACTGTCTCCGAGCTGGTAGGGCCCAGGCTGGCTGCTCAAAGTCACCTGGGTCATCTCCCTGACCCTGGCTGGCTGGTTGTTATAAAATTCATGTGCCGTTATTTCCAGATCAGGGATTAACACACACACAAACAAAAACGTTGAAAGTTACTCTACAGAGAAAGAGATCTTGATTATCCAGTCCAGCCATCCACCTGACCCAGACCCTCACCCCACCCCCACCCCACAGAAGAGGAAGCTCTTTTGCATCCCAGACCTTCTGTTATCTGGCTGGGAACCCACAGCCAGAAGCAGCACCAGGTAAATGGCTGTAGTTAGGGGCTGAGGAAGAGGCAGAGGACACTCTTTTCAGGTTTCATTGTGGGCCAGGAAGCAAGTGAACCCCAGAATCCTTCTTGGCCCCCCCTTTTCCTCAACCAATTATAAAAGGGGAAGGGACAGAGGGAGTTAGAGACCTCTCAGTCCTGAGTCTGTGGTCTACAGTAGTTGGTGTCTCCCAACCTAATAGCACTCTTTCTCTTCCGTTCACCACATCACCTGCTCAATTGGGAAAATAGTTATAAAACTGGCCTTCGGTTTCCTTATCAAAAGGAGAAGGAGCCCCCGCAGGGGAGGAACTGTCACCACTGGAAGGATAGGGGGACACACGCCTCCTCTTAGAGTCTCCTTCGCCCAGTCCCGAGTCACTGGACTCCGGCCGGATGGGGGTGATGTCAGTCCACAAGGAGGGGGAACCTTGGTCCTCTGGCCCCCGCCCCTCTGAGGCTCCAGGGCCAGGTTCCATGGGCAGAGTCCGCATGGAGCGGAACCAGCTGGCTGGGCCCATCTTGGGAGGGTACTGGGGGGCCACAGCCCAGCCAGCTCCAGGTGCCAGGACCTCCTGGCTTCGGTAGTAGGACATGGTGGGCCCAGGGGCGGAGGGCAGGAACGCAGGCTTCATGCTGACTGCTCGAAGCTCGGCCTCGTAGCTGTGGTCCCGGGGGGCCCCAGCCAGTAAGGCTGAGGCACCACATCCTTGGCCTGGCCAGGAAGGTCGGGGTAGAAACGGCTGGGAACGGGATACTGGTTGGGGAGGAGAGATGAGTAGTGATCTCCCCCAAGCAATTGACAGTTCGGTCCAGGCGGAGAGGGGACGCTGGTGTCAACAGACGCATACATTCTTAAAAAAAAAAGGAAAAAACAGGAAGCAAGAAGACAGGGGTCAAGAGCAGAACCATCACTTATGAACCTGCCCATTGCATGTCCCTCCCCAGACCTGCTGGCCCTCCAGGAGCACCCACCCCATGCTTCCCGATGCTCAGAGGCAGAGAGGGGACGTGCTGGAGTCCCAGTCTCAGAGGAACAAGAGGAGGCCTCTGCAAAGGTGAGCTGAACCCAGTGGTACTTACGACTCAAAGTTCTCCCGGAATCCTTTGGCAAAAGGGTTGTTATCAATTTTCAGCTGAGTAATCTAGAGAGAGGGGAAACAGAGTCACCTGAATCCTGAGTCTGTGGCTGGGGAGCTTACAGAATCCTTCCTAGGGGATACTAGGGGCCTGTTCTCCCCCTAATCCCCCTCCCAGGCTCAGCCCACCCTTGCCCAGGCAGCCCCCACCTCCGCATTCTGGTAGGCAGTCACGGCAATGAATTGGGTTTCTTGGAAAGTAAAGATGTGCGCATTGGAAGCGTTGCAGGCTGCCTCTGGCTCTCCATCGTTCACTTCAACGATGTGCAGCCGGGGCTGGTACTTATGGAGGGACTGCAGCACGATCATCTGAGAGGCAGTGAGACGGCTGTGAGGGTGGGAGGAGGAGTTCAAAGGACCCCACCTCCATGGCTGGCCCTGTGGCCAGGCTCAAAAGGACCCTGAGGTCATGGTGGCCATTCCCCTGCCCTGCCACCATGTAACTTCTCCCAGGCCTTCCAACCCTAGTCCCCAGCCTCTTTAGGGCACCAATTCTATCCTCCTGCCCCCTTCCCTATCCCCAGATGTCCACTGTGACCAAGCTATTAGTACAAACAGGGCTTTTCAGGGATAAGGGCATTTTAATACGACTACTCAACTCAAAGAAACTCTGCGTCCATTCCCTGGGACCACCGGTACCAGCTTTATACCCAATACAGTACACGAGCCATGGCAGCCGGGATTCAGTGAAGAAATCCCCAGGCTGGTTTGTCCCATGTTGGCCTGAATGTGATCCCTGCCTGCCCTGAGATTCAGTTCCCTCCCAAGGTGGGTAGAAAAGAACCAAAGTCAGAGAGGAAGAAAAGTCACTTCTACAGAACAGAATCAGCCTACAGGACCTACTGTGGCCTCAGGGATGGGGACGGGGGCGGGGCTCGCCCATGGGGAGGAGTCCCACCTGGGTCACATTGTTGGAGGCCCCCTTGTTGTTGGTGAGCTTTAGTTTCCCAAATGAAACTTCCTGGCGCATCCAGTGGGCTCCAGTGTTAGGGGAATCGGGGTGGACGTACAGGCGGTTTCCTGTGGACAGTTAATCTCTTTGGCATACAGCCCCTGGGACCAGGCCCCTGGTGATGTGGGACTTCTTTGCCTGTTCTGAGGGGGATGGCAAGAAAGAAGCAGGGAGGAGACAGACGGGGCAGGGCAGGGGGAGGTGTGGGCAGAGGACTGAGCTGAAGATAGGCTACAGCAAAGTAGGAGATGATAAATAGAACGGAAGTGAGAAGTGGGAGAGGATGGGGTGAGATGGGATGGAATGGGATGGTGTGGGGTGGGGTGGGATGGGAAGGGTGGAACGGAGAATTAAATGCTAGGAGTCACGGGCAAGGGCTTGGAGGTTCCTCCTGGATCCACCAGGGGGCGCCCAGTCTTAGAGAAAAGGTGTGCCCACCGCTCCCAAGGAGGCTTATACCTGGCATGCTGCCCTCAGCCTTTCCACACTGCACCCACTTGCCGCTCTGATACCGCCAGTGGTGCTGGTCCACCAAGACCACGTCCACAAACATCCGGTAATGACTGGTGGGCTCCAGCCCAGCCACAGTAAATGACAGGAATGGGAACATCCGCCTGGGGAGAAGAGAGAGACCCACTAATATCCATCGGCCCCCCAGCCCCGGGACAGCCATCCCTTGTGCAAAGGCCATCCGTCAGTGGCGTGCTGGAGCTGGCTCCCGCCCCACACCAAAGCCAGATGGAGAGGTCCAGAAAGCCTGCCAGCCAGTTGTTAAAACAGCCACGGTTAAAAATTAAATTATATAAACTTACAATTAAATACATTACATTAGAAGCCAAGGTAAGAAATACTCCAAAATCATCACTTCCCAGTTCTTTCAGTCCATTTTACTTTCATCTCTGCTCTTGAGGTTGTTTACGTCTCCTCTGCCTGTATGGTGGAGATACTAGATAATGTGCGCTACCACTGGTCTCTTCCCGACTCTGCGTTCCGTGATATCACGTGGGTAGCTTAAAAGCAGCATTGCAAGGGTATTTACCACAGAAATCAGCAAACACTACGAATCAGCTTTTTAAAATGTTCTTCTTTCAGAGGGTCAGTTGCTAGACATTAGCAGCACACCACTGTCCGTACTCTTCGTTTGCCTCCTAGCGGGGAGCAAAGCCACAAGCCAGCCCCAGACAGGCTGTTCCTAGTAGGTCCTCATGCCTCACTTCCCTGAACCCTGGTGTGGCCTCAGTCCGTCATCCATCCTCTCCACTGTAGTTCTCATGGTGCTAGCACAGGCCTAGCCCCACAGCGCCCATCCACAGGCCCTCCCCGCCCCATCGTCGTGGGCCAGATGTCTGCAGTGTGGTCTGCTCCAGGCCTGAGTCTTCAAAGTCCTAGCTGGAACTTCCCATCCACATCCCATCAAAAAGGACTCTTGACCACAGTCCTTATGTTCAAAGTCCTGGTTCCCGGGAAAAGGAATTTGGATTTGGTGTGCTGTGTTACTGTGCCAGAGTATTCAATTCAGAGAAAGCAGCACTCCTATACCACAACCATCTTCCACCAGCTCCACCAGTCCCACTCCCAACACATCACTACAACCAACACCTCCACCACCACCACCATCACTAAACCAACACCTCCACTATCACTACCCCTAACACCACCACCACTACAACCATCATCTCCACCATCACCACCCCCACCACCACCATCACTGTAACCAGCACCTCCACCATCACAGCCATCACCACACCCACCACCACAACTATTACCTACACTATTACCATCACTACAATTATCCCCTCCATTATCCCCACCATCACTACAACCACCACCTCTACCACCACCAGCTCTAATGGCTTAAACCCTTGCTCTTCTAACCCAAGCAGGAAGGGCAGAGTTTTTAAGATGGCAGAGTCAAACTTTCATCAGAATTACTTTTCATTCTCACACACTTCTCCCCTCCTCTGACAAAAAGCCCCTCAGGATGGGATGAAAGGTACTGGTCCGTGAGTCAGGAAACCTGGGGGAGGGAGAGTTCAAGAGGTCTAGGAACGCTTTGGGGTAGATTCTAGTCCCCAGAGGGTCCCAGAGCAACATCCCTAATAACCTCGAAAGATCTCCCTGGAGGGCAGTCACAGTCCCATCTTCCCCAGATTCTCCTGGGCTGAGCAAAAGAGACCACTGGCCCTATGACCTTGGATAAGTTAATTCCCAAACCAAACCTCAGTTTCTTCACCTATAAATGGAGATAATAACTCCTGTCCCCCTTTCCTCTGAGAGGTGTTAAGAAGTTTGAAAGATGTGAAACTCAGCTCACCATCTCTCCTGTCCCACCCCCATCCCACCTCCTCCCAGGCCCAGAGCCGTCAAAGCACTCTGGCCTTGCAAAAAGACCCTGAGCAAAAATCCAGAGTTCCAGTTCTAGACCCTTGGTCCCAGGCGCTCGGCCCGCCAGTTGACTTCAAAAATCAGAGGTGAGGTGTGAGGCTCTGAGCATTTGAGGGTGGGAGAATATTTTCAACGCGTTTCTACCAATGACTCATTCTGCAACCTATATTGTAACCTGTTCCTATCCAAACTTGTAGGAATAAAATGAGAGAAGAAAACAAATTCATTGAGCCCCTATGCAGCAGTCAGTTCATTGAACCAGTCCTTTGAGACAGCAAATGTTATTTCCATTCAAATGTTACTTGAAGAAAACAAGGCTCAAAGAGGTTTGCCGATGGCTCCCTGATAGGAGAGCAGAGCTGGGGTCTCCTGCAGCCTCCATACCTCCATCCTGCTTCTCCCTAGCAGGAGGAAAGGCAGGTGACACAGGAGGACCGTGGGGAAGAGGGAGAAGAGAAAGGAGATCTCAACTTCATCCTAAAAGTTTAGAATCACCACCAGCTGGGATTCCCAAAATAGCCCCTGATTTACATGACAGTTTGCTGGGAGGGAAGAGGGAGTGAAGATAGGTCTGGTGCCAAAATGAGCCCCCTACAAAAGACCACTTACCGTTCTGCCCTCAGAGGATAAGGTCCAAGACCCCCAAATTCCTCTGCTGCCCCTCAGGACCATCCCCCCTGAAATGATCCGCAGGGTCTGTATCCCTTCCCCATCCTGAACACCTCTGACAATGCTCCAATTCACTGTCATTAAGTACAAATTAAAAGGAGATGGTTTTTATCAGTCATGTCGGCAAAATGTTTCAAATTTGGTAATATCCAATGTCGATGAGCCTGTGGGAAAGTGGGTCCTCTCGTTCACTATTGGTGGGGGTGTAAACTGGTACCACGTTTTAGGAGTGTATTCTGGTTTTATTCCCTCTTTTTTTGTTATTTACTTTTTTTTTAGGAGTGTGTTCTGGCATCTGCCTATTCAAATGCGAAAAGCACTTGGCATCAAGAGATCGCCTCCTCCCACCAACCTTGGACCCACTTAATAGAAATTCGATGGCCACCAGCAAATGGCCAAACAGCAAGCAAAGCCGTTTTCACCTGCACCCAGAGAAATAAAGCTGGCTGAAAGCAAAAAAATTTTTTTTTGTTTTTAAAGAGCTAAAGCGTTCTCAGAGTAGAAATGTAGAAAAGAGAAAACCAAAATGCCTGAGGCCAGCGATCGAAGATGATGTGGGACTGAAATTGTTTTATCGAGCCCTAATTTCACACATACACACACAAGTGCAAATTGGGATGCTTAACAACAGAGCTACCCAAAGTTATCTTAATTATAATAATCAACTAATCACACCCAGAAAAGTGGGGATTGCCAGCAATTACTGCACATCCACACACCCACACATCCACATACCCGGAGACAGCCGCCTCTCTCTTCCTCTACTGAGAAGGTCTGCCTTCGACTATTCCATGCCAGCCAACTCGGGCACAGCACACAGACTACCTCGCAGAGATGACATGAGGCCCAGCAACCCCAGGAGGCACTATAAGGCCCCAAAGCTCCACAAACACATAAACTTGAACTCCAAAGTCTCCAGTTGGCCAGACAATCTTTTTGTCCTGTTTCCCCTCCCAGCTCCATCTGAGCTGCCTGGCTCCGTCTCTAGACCCTGGAATCACTCCCGGCTCCCCGCCCCATTTCTGCCCATGCAGGAGAGTGTTTCGCTTGTCCACCCTGAGGATGGGGCTACGGTGGGTGTGAGGGAAGGATCTGGGAGGGAGTGAGTCAGCCCAAGGCAAAAGGCTACGGGGCTGTGAGTGGGCCTGGGCTGGCAGGATTTTTCAAAAAGGAAGAAGGCCGTGGGTGATGTGGTAGTGACTGGTGGGTCACTGGCACCCACGGATGGACAGGCCAGCCCGCCAAAAGAGAAGAACGGAAAGGGAGCTGTTCTCTGAGTCCAAGTCTTACTTTTCAGAAGTCGATAGAAGGAAATGGCCACCAACTTCCCAGATCACTGGAGCCCAAGCTCAGATACGGGGTGCTGACCCCAGAGGCTTGATCCACGAGGAGGCATCAAAGGAAGGGGTGAAGGGGCCACTGTCCCCTTCCAACAGTGTCCAACACGCCGCAGTGTCCGAAGTGGTCCCTCAGGATGGATTGAAAGTGTGAGGATTGTAAAACACACACACACGCACGCACGCGTGCACATACACATGAAACATTTAGGGAAATTTGATGACATTTAGGAACTTCTACTCAGGTTTGCTAATGGTATTGTATTTATTTTTAAAAAGCCATTTTTAAAGGTGCACAGAGAACTACTCAAGGATGAAGTAATAAAGTGTCTAGGATTTACTAATTACTTATACTGTCACTGAACATGGTTTCAGACCAGAGGGTGGAAGTTAAGTGAGCGAGGATAAAGAAACAAGGCTGGACCAGTACTGGCAATTGTCAAAGCTGAGTAATGGTAGATGGAGATCTGTTACCTTTTTCTCTTCACTGCTGCATATATTGGAATTTTTCATAATAAAGGAAATTAAGTGTGTGGATCCAAACAGACAACAAAATTTGTCAAGAGAGAATTACTCAGCAGGAACATAAAGAACAGAAGGAAACTGTAGGTGTAGAGATGGCGACCCGGGCCGGGAGCCACATCGCCCTGAGATACCTCCTGAAACAGCCTGAGGGCAGAGCCACGGCTAGCCCAGCACCCAGAGCCCTGAAGTTCTGGCTGAAGCTCTGTCCATCCTGTCCCTCAAGACTGGAGGGTCAAGGGCCTGGCAGCAAGGCTGTGGGGAGACCCGAGCCAGGCCCCAGGATGGGAAGCTTCAGGACTACCCAGCAGAGTGGAGGCTTGAGTCGGAGTCTGCTGTGTGAGCGAGTGCAAGCCACCAGCCCGCCTGCGCCTCAGTGCCCTCAGCTGTAACTAGGGAGGCCGCTGGGCCTACCTAGCGCACAGCGAAATAATGGAAGTGAAAGCACTCTGAATGCATGAAGGCCTTCGGCCAGTGTGGGCGGCTGTTTTTACTCCCAGCCATGGGGGGATCAGAGAAAGAAACCGAGGCCAGTTCTGCCAGAGATGGGTGCGCTGTGTAACTTCAGAAGAATGTCTTGCTGTTTCTGGGCCAGTGTCCCTGTCTGTCCACAGTAGAGACAGGACAGGGTCTTCTGGGTCCCCTCCAATTCAGACTCGATAGGACTGAAGTCGGGGCTGTGTCTGGGTGTACCCAGAGGGGGCTAGGGTTGGAGGGAGCAGAGAGGAATTATCACAAGGCTTAGAAGATGAAGGCCTTGCCAAAAAAGAAAATGCTAACGTTCCTGGGTTCATCCCAGAGAAAGAGGAAGAGCTCAGCAATCTGAAGCTAGTTGTGGTTGGTGGACAGGTCCCTCAATCCCAAGCCACACCATAGAAATCTTGGGGAAGTAAGAATGTTCCAGCAATGTCCAGACTGAATGTCAATCCCGGGGCCCAGCATGGCCTCTCCCGTCTCCCTGCCCAAGTCCCACATTCGGTATCTGCTCTTCAACACTTCCTAGGTCCACTGATGTTACAGCCCGTCCACACACAGGTCCTCACTGGTCCCCTGCCCATGCCGGCCCCCACTGGGCCAGGTGTGTGCACACTCACACCAGACACAGGCAGGGCCCACTCAGAGTGTTGCTTACTAAACAAATAACACACTAAGTCAAAAGTTTCTCTTTCTTTCCCCATGACGGAGGCTCTCTCCGGAAGCAGCACCCTTGGCCCCAAACCTTACCCTGCATGCACTGGGCTCAGGAAACCCTGAGCCATGGAGCCATGGGTTCCCCAGGATGGACTGGTGACTATCTGGCAAAGGGTGGGGCAGGCTTTCAGGGAACAGGCTTTGAAGGGTAGAGTGTGGGACAAGCTGGGACCCACAAATCAGCTTCACCTGCTCAGGCTCATAGTCATTTGTGCCCTGGGGCAGGGGACTATGCCTAGAAGGAATCTGTGCCCCCTCCCACTTTACCACCCCCCACACACACACCAACCCCAACACACGCACACACCAGACATATGATCTCAAAGTACTACCGTAAAGGAAACTTGGCGACCGCTTCTCCATGTCACCAAATCCCAGTCTTACTGTCCTCCCCCCGACCAGAGCTGACCTGTACCCAGCAGCAGCAAGGGGGCTGGGAGAGGTGGGCACAGGAGGCCCCAGAGATGAGGTTGAATTGTTGCCGGCCCCACTGCAAGACTCTGCCCTCCCCTCCGTTTGCCCACACGTAGGGGCTAAGAGGTGCCGTGTTCTGTCAAACCCACAGCACACGATCCTTCTGTGCCCACGGCGCCCCCTACTCAGACAGAGAGCGCACCCCAATGCTGGGTGAAATCATGGGCACCTTCCTCCTAAACCAGGACGCCGGCTCATCGTGCCCTTCTCCTCCACCTCCTTTTTGAGTTCTGCCTGTTGGTGTAACGTCCTGAGAGTAAACAACCCCAGAACTTTCCTAGCCCCACTACAACTCCCTCCTTCTCCACAAAGCCTGAGCCAAAACTGTGAGGGACCAGGAGACACTGGCAAAGATTAAGACAGGAGAAAAAAAAAGAAAGAAAAGCGCGTCCCTGTCTGGGCTGGAAAGACAGAGACTCCCACGGCTCGGCGCTCCCGGCGCGCGCCTCACTCACCGTCCCTGCTTGGTGATGATCATCTCCGTCTGGTGCTGATTGAACTTGGACCACAACAGGTGGTTGTTGAGCGCCACTCTCAGCTTCCCGGACACCTCCAGCCCCGCCGGCAGCGCATAGTCCTCGCGAGGCCCCGGGTAGAGGGCGGCGCGCGCGTCCGGGGCCGCGTAGCCGTCCCC